GAGCTCACCCCGTCATGGGGATTCGAACTGCCGACCTTCTGATCGGCAAGTCCTAGGCTCTGTGGTTTAACCCACAGCGCCACCCACGTCCCTTAAAAATGTTCTAGATGGCTTTAACTACTAATAGAATTATAGAGTTGGAAGAAATTCTGTGGATCAACTAGTCAAATTTCCTGCAATGCAAGAATATGCCATTGTCCCATACGGGAATCAAACCTGCAACCTTGGCATCATCAGCACCACACTCCAACCAACTAAGCTATCAAGGCAGCACTAACATAAAAATAGCTTAGTACAGGCATGTCTAACAGGTCGATCACAATCTACTGGTTGGTCACAGGGTGTTCCTGGTCAATCCTGGTCGATCTTTGTACGCTTAGCAATCTATCCCCCCCAAAAAAAACAACTCAGCAACTCTGGCTCCCTAAGAAAAGCTCAACGAAAAAGCTCAACAACTCTGGTCCATCTTCCAGTGACAATAGGTAGATTACTGTCTGTTTTTTTTAATATACTGTGAGTCGATCGCTGTCTTTTGGGAGTTGGACGTGTCTGGTTTAGTACAACACACATAACCACATAAATGCACCACAAAGACAGCATAAACACAGCAATCAGTATAGCGGAACAACCATGTTGAGATGAAATATGGAGTACTGCCCTGCCACTGCCACCTGAGAAGGCGCACCGGCCCCAACGCTATTTTCCAGTGAAATCTCACATGCTTCACAATATCACATGTGATCTGGGTGAGATCTCATTAAATTTCCCTGGAAATTGGTGACAATGCCAGCACTGCTTCTCTGCTGGGGACAGGGGTGGCAGGGCCAGCAGGGCATATGTTGGGGCACCGCCTTGGGGGCTTCCGCTACCTGAGGCAGTTGCTTCACTCTGCCTAATGGTTGTGCCAGCTGTGGTCCAAACGTCTCAGAAGCCTGCTGTGCAGTAATTCAAAGTAGGGTTTTTGGTGTGGCTGCCTCTGTTCTATGGAACAGCATTCCTGGTGAGATATAGCAGTTGCCAGCTATTTGCAGTTTCTGAAAAGGACTGGATATATTTTTATTCAAACTCGTTTCCCAAACTAGATAAACACGTTTTTACCACAAGTGCCCACGTGATAGGCTTCAGTTTTGTTTAAAATTTGTTTTTTTGTTTTTGTTTTTTAACTGTGTTTAATCTTCTTAAATGTAAATCCCTCTGAGGCACCGATTTGGAAGGTGATTAATAAATCAGTACTACACTTATTATTAATATTAACAATAACATCTGCGTAAACACATTAGGATGGTGATGCACACTGAATAACTACAGTACTGGCTTTAAAACATCTCATTTTAATTCTTAACTACGAAATTGAATCCACGCTTCCCCTTTTGCTCATGGAAGGGCTCTTAAGTCAACAGATGACTCTGTGAATGGAATAGGGAGGCGAGGCAAAAATAAAGAGAGACCCAATATTTGTTCCATTCCATGGCAGAGTATTATTCTGTACACTGGGAGGAATAAAACTTGAAGGCTAGCAAATGAACAGGTAGGTATGAATAATTCACTCTTGTTCTTATTAGATGAAAACAGTCCTGGATTTTAGCAGGTGGCCACCGTGGGACATTCAGCATCATGTGTCAGGGCTCAGTTTGCTTCAGTGGTTACAGTTAAGATTAGAGAAACTAATGGAAAGATTTAAGGGAGGCGGGGAAACAGCCAGCTGGAATTGTTATTATGTTGTCACAAAAACCTGTAAGTTCTCCGGAGAAAAGTAAATTCTCTCTAATGCAGCCTAAATTGTTCCAATGGAGCAACAGGCTGTCATGTAGCTGAGATCCATTGATAAAGCAGAAATGTATTCCCTTAAGTACCAAGCCATGATTTATTGAAAAACAACGGTAATTCGCAAGCATTGTCCCCCCCCCCCCCGCCCAATGAAAATGTGAATGCATTGCTTGATTGTAATGGTTATACTTTTCTTCTGAGCACAATTATTTCCAGATATCCTCATTCTACAAGATTATTCTGTCTCTAGTAAGACTACCTGTGTTGCCTTGTTTTCCCATTAGATGTTCAGTTAAGCCAGTAATGAAAAAGCTGTCACCAAAGGTTTGCTTATTTTTTTAATGAATGCTTCAGGCCATGGAGTTTTTCATCTCAAGTTCTCAGTTAGAGATCTCATATATTATAATAGCTAGTGCAATGGCTGGGCAAACACAAACAGCATGATAACACTACAGAACTCCATAGAGATCAGTCCCTGAAGGCAATTTATTCTACAATAGCCGGGTATTCTGTGTTGAATCAACCCTGAGATCATCAATAAGACAAAGGCTCCCGTGCAGTTAAGAAATGTTGTTGGACTCTTCTGACATTGTATATATGTACACATATATGCTATATATGTACACATACAGATGGATGTGAAAATTCAGGTCTCATGTGAGAGGGAACCGAAACACAACTATTCTTCAAAATGTGCACGAATTTTGCAATGCAGTTCTCCAACCAAGCAATGTGCACTGAAGGGTATATGCTAGGGTAAAGTGTGCATGAAAAGCACAAATTAGGGGAAACAATTGTGCAAAAAAAATATGCACATTAGGTGAAATTTGCTGATTAAATAGCTGTTATCTGATCCATTTTTATTTATCATTTTAAGCATCTTTAAAAAGTTCTTTTAATTCTTAGTTCTTTTAATTGCTCCATCAATAATTGTTGCATGACACAATCAGTGGGGTGTTTTTCAGTATTTTCACCATACTGAGTGCTTAAGAGAATCTCTTAGAATTGGAGAATCTCTTAGCTGTTAGATTTCTTTGGTATGTATAATTAGAACACACTTTTTGTTTGTTTTGTTGTCAGCCCCTTAACGGTGCCTCCTCTTAAGCCAGCCATTGGTTAATATTTCAGATGAATATTTTAACCAGCAGAGAGATAGTCTCAGTAGTAATTTATAGGAGTTTCAGAAATATTGAAGAAAGGGGGATTCAGCTGATTTTTGCCCCAGGGGCTATTAAGTGGGGCAAGATTGTGGTTCTTCCACTCCCCAGTCATTCACCCGTCCAGTTCCTTGAAGATTTCTTGGTCTCATGGTGGAAGAGCATCGCTTCCAGAGCATTGGAAATTAATCCCTGTTTTCTCTGTTCTTCAGAGATAATACAATAGGGAGTAACTATCGCTAATTATCTCCATCAACCTAATTATCTCCATCAATGGAGCCTCAACAGAGACTGATTCCTCCCCAGAAGTCCACAGCATTTCTCCATTTTCTCCATGCAAAGGACCTACTACTTGCTTGTTCTTCCTCTTGCTTCAAACATAGCCAAAGAAGCATTTATTATTATTAACCTCTCTAGCAAGCCTGAGCTCATTCTAAGCTTTGGCTCACCTGACCTTCTCCCTGCTTCTCATGTATATTCTTACTTTGGGATTCCTCCTTTCTTCCCTTTCTTATACATGCCCTTCTTAAATCTCAGCTCACCTGTAAGCTCCTTATGCAGCTACACCAGTTTCTTTAGATGCCTCCCACTTTTCCTTCTTGTTGGAATTGTCTGCGTTTGTGCTTTCAATATTTCACCTTTATGAAACTCCCACCCATTTTGGACTCCCTTCTCTCTGAGTATTTCTGATCATGGGATCTCACCTAATAGTTCCTTAAGCTTTTTAAAATCAGCCTTCTTAAAGTCCAGAATGCGTGTCCGACTACACTCAGCTTTCCCTTGAGAGCCAGTATGGTGTTGAGAGCCAGTATGGTGTAGTGGTTAAGAGCGGTAGTCTCGTAATCTTCGCGTCTCTGCTCCTCCACATGCAGCTGCTGGGTGACCTTAGGCCAGTCACACTTCTTTGAAGTCTCTCAGCCCCACTCACCTCACAGAGTGTTTGTTGTGGGGGAGGAAGGGAAAGGAGAATGTTAGCCGCTTTGAGACTCCTTAAAGGGAGTGAAAGGCGGGATATCAAATCCAAACCCTCCTCCTCCTCCTCCTCCCTCTTCTTCTTCTTCTTCTCCCTCTTCTTCTTCTTCTTCTTCTTCTTCTTCTTCTTCTTCTTCCCTTGTCTCAACGCAATGAAACCCAAGAGGACATTATTACTTCCTTCCTAGGTTCCCAGTACTTCCACTTCCACGTCAGTTCAAGATTACTGATGTACACTTATTGAATGAACACACACATGTGGAAGGAATCTGCAGAGGTTGTATTCCAAAGTGGACTCACCTCATTTGATCCATGTGAATCATAAAGCACACTGGATCCACTTCAGAATCTGCAGCCCTGCAAATTCCTTAATGAGGCACCTGGGAGCAGCAGTGCTGCCTTTGTCTGCTAACCATTTTTCTTCCCTTTTAAAAAGCTGCAAAAAAAGGTCATGCAGCTGCCTACAGCTTGGAGCAGCTATTGCACAGGTCTCTTTGCTGCCATGCACTTTGAATACAGTAGAGCAGGTCCCCATGGGAACAATGGGGCCTGAGGGTGTTCCACCAGACACAGTGGAAATAGTATGGGGGGAAATCAGGCATGCGGCCTTGACCCCGCAAAACACGCACACACACACACACACACACACACACACACACAGCTCTTGGAATGTGCGAAGCATAACTTCTGAATATGGTTAGATTGTATGGGCATAACACGTCATGTTGAGATCATGTAGCATTTTCCAGCAGGTCAAGAGGCAGACTTTTGCCAGAGACGGGCAAAGAGTTGTTTAAACAGATCCCACTTATCTCTGCTTTCTGAGCACTGCTGTTTTACTATATTTTACTGTGGTTCTCATTATTGCAGTTTATATATATATATATATATATATATATATATATATATATATATCTCCACTCCGGCGGGAAGGTAAACGGCGTTTCCGTGTGCTGTTCTGGTTCACCAGAAGCGACTTAGTCATGCTGGCCACATGACCCGGAAGCTGTACACCGGCTCCCTTGGCCAATAAAGCGAGATGAGCACCGCAACCCCAGAGTCAGTCATGACTGGACCTAATGGTCAGGGGTCCCTTCATCTTTACTATATATATATAGTGTGTGTGTGTGTGTGTATATATACACACACACACACACACACACACACACACATATATACATATATATAGTTCTAGTTCCAGGATGTAACCCATCCTGGAACTTTCAGGTGAGAGGCTGATAAATAAAATCAAATAAATAAACTGCCTCTGTGACATCCACAAGAAGGAGGCAGAGGGGCAGGGTTTTTTTATATATATATAAAAGAACCCCCTCCATTCTCTGCATACTGTGGTCAAGATCCTGCTCCCCCATCCTGTACATGTGGTGGCTTTTCTTTTTTCCCCTTTCCCCCCCTTGTAAACTGTGATCATCAGTTGCTTACATCTGTGTAATAGCACATGCAGTTTGCCCCTATTCCTTTACTTCTACAGACTTCCTTTTCTTACATAATGTATATCTCTCCTTTATTATTATTTTTAACATAGGTTTAAGCCTTTGTACGTCTAAGGTATTGTTATGTAGGTTTTTACTTCTATGAGGCTATTCCCAGTGTTCTCTTTCAACAGAAACTGGTTTGGAGGGAAAAGAAAATTAATTTAATTTGTCCAGTAATCAGAGACACATATTGGCCTTTCCTTGATGTGCAGACATTTTGCATTAGGTGACTTCATTTGACTCAATACTCTTGGGTGTGCAAATTTCACTTTCTTTTTTTTTGCCACTATTTGGCAAAGGTCCTTTCATATCAAAATTCATATCATATGTATCATATCAAATTTGGTTTTTAAAAAAATACAGAAAGGAAAGATTTTACATTTCATTTTTAAGGGGTCTCTTGGTAGAGCTGGGAGAAAATGAACCTTGTTTCCACATCTTTGCCATTCCCTGTAGCCTGAGCTATTAATATCTTAGGAAGAAAGATTGTTCTCAGCCCATACACACAGCTTCCTTAGCTTTAAATTAGCTGACAGAATGCTGGAGTGCTACACTGTATATAGGTCACAGAGAGGAAGATTCCTCAGGTATAAAGGAACATTTTATACATGGCTCCTCAGAAGGAAGTATCTGGATCTTCTGCCACATGTCAGCAAAGGAATCCAGCCTTAAATACCAATGAGCTACAAAGCAACTTGAGTAATGCTGGATTAGGAACCCCTGGTGAAATTTAAACAGAAATGAGGGTATCAACAGGTCACAGCTTCCAGCAAAATAACATTCGACTTTATTACAAGACTTCTTATTACAAGAGAGCCAGTGTGGTGCAGTGGTTAGGAGAGGTAGACTCGTAATCTGGTGAACCTGGTTCACGTCTCCGCTCCTCCACATGCAGCTGCTGGGTGACCTTGGGCTAGTGACACTTCTCTGAAGTCTCTCAGCCCCACACACCTCATAGGGTGTCTGTTGTGGGGGAGGAAGGGAAAGGAGATTGTGAGCCGCTTTGAGACTCCTTAGGGTAGTGATAAAACAGAATATCAAATCCAAACTCCTCCTCCTCTTCTTCTTCTCTGCTGAAATACCATGCCATTTGTGTTCTTAAATATCTGTCCCAAACTCATGATAGCCTATGACCCAATAGGACTCTTCTCATGAGAACATGAACAGTCCTGCTGGATCAGGCCAAAGGTCCACCTAGATTTCAGGTGACCAACCAGATGGCCCTGGGATGGCCACAAACAAGATAGGAGCCCAACAGTTGTCTCCCTCCTTGGGAATCACAGCAATTGTTATTCAAGGCCCTACTGCCTTCAACACTGGAGGTGGACCCAAGCCATTGAATCTAGTTGCCATTGTCTCATTCTCCATGAATTTACCTAAAACTCCTTTAAAGCCACCCAGCTTTTTGCCCATTGCTTGTGGGAACAACTCCACAATATCCATCTGCAGTGTGGAGATTTATTGTCTTGGGTCTTTCAACGTTCAGCCTCTTTCGATGGCCCCAGGTTCAAAAATTATGGGAGAGGTTCGTAGAAGCTGTCAGCATGTGACAGCGGCTACAGCCCAGGAAATGGCTTCAACTGGCCAGCTAAACTAGGTGAGTTATGGATTTCCCCGCATGTGAAGACAGGCTCTGGTGGATTGAGCAGATGACACCAACCGTGGGTCCAACAGAAGACTGTTTTTGTACATGCTGTGGAGGAAAGTGAGGGGCAATTGGGGCTCATCAACCTGGAAAGGTAGCCCATCTAAGAGAAGGAAAATTCTGATCCTAAACTTCCACTGCCTTGTGTGATATCTTCAGGAGAAGAAAAGGCTAAAGAGTAAACCCTACACAAATCTGGAGAGGGGCAACTGCTGGGTGGGGTAGGGTAGTCAAAGTACCGTATTTTTCGCCCTATAGGACGCACCGTCCCATAAGGCGCACCTAGTTTTTTTTTGGGGGGGGAAATAAAGGGGAAAAAAATTATTCACCCCCAGGTGCGGGGCTGGGGCGGGGGAAGCCCGAGCTTCCCCTGACCCCAGCCCCCAGAACAGGCAACTCTCCGCAAGCCGCGGGAGCCCAGGGCCGGGCTCCCGCGCCTTGTGGAGAGCTGCGCGAAGCCTGGAGAGCGAGAGAGGTCGGTGCGCACCGACCCCTCTCAATCTCCAGGCTTCAGCAAAAGCCTGCATTCACCCCATAGGATGCACACACATTTCCCCTTCATTTTTGGAGGGGAAAAAGTGCATCCTGAAGGGCGAAAAATACGGTAGATCTGGGCCATGTGAAATTCCAGAGTATTTTCCACAGTATTTCCAGAAAAGGTGTGCAGATTTGGTTCCAACAAGCCATTGCCCCAGCAGGTGATATATTTCTAATGAATCGGAATGAAGGAAAATGCTGACACAATTATTTCTAGCTTGCTCTTTTGTGTGTTTGTCAGTGAATTTCTAAAATGAAAAATTTGGTCCATATGTCTGTCTGGATTTGACTCTAGATCCTTCCCCAAACCGGTTCTCCCAACCCCCCAACAGAGGTTGATTATGATTAGTCTGGCATGGTGAACTCTGCATATGAGCAGACACTATTATTTCACATTTTAGTACTGAGCCATGCATTGCAGATATGTTCTGCTGTGCTCTGATACGGGCTCTCTCTCAGATATGGCTCCTCATTTGCAAAAATATGCTTTTTGTGAAGGCATGAAAAAGAGAATAACTTTGCACACTAAAGATGCTGAAATGTGTGTGTGTGTGTGTGTGTGTGTGTGTGTAGAATTTGGATTCCATGGTGTGAAAATTAAATCCCAAGTGCTGAGAGTTATAGCTGTCTATGGCATTGCTGGGCTTTCTTTGGGCAGTACAACTTGATGACCTCAGAAAAAAGGCTGTTGGGATGTGGAGCATTAGCTCTTCAATTCAGTCTCTTAACTGGGTCCCGGGGGAATTTCTAGTCTTTGCTGCTAAATGGTTTTCAAGTACCAGCGTTTTAAGCCATGCAGAACAGTCCGTTTCTCATCACATCCATTTTTTTTATAAAAAAAACAGCCACTACCAGCACATCTACAAATGCAGAGAGCTTTAAAAAGATGACCCACTAAAGTACTGAACAAGTCAAAACTTTGTCAGTTAAAGAATGAGAAAATGTTGAAGGATGTGTGCATTTTCCTGCTCTCTACTTCTAGATTGACAGAGAAACTTTCCCAATTTAAAAAGTGGTGATGCCCACATTAAAAAGCCTATTGTCATCCTTTGGGGAGGAAATATATTTTTATTTCTTTCCCACCTGCCACTTAATTACACACCTAAAACTCCTAACGTTTAATCTGGTTTTTAAGGCCCTGTCTGCACTGTCCTTTGAAAGTGGTATCATGCCACTTTAAATAGGCATTGCCTCCCTCAATGGATCCTGGGAATTGTTGTTTGTGAAGGGCGCTGAGAGTTGTAAGGAGACACCTATTCTCCTCACTGAGTTACAATTCTCAGTGTCCACTAGGAAGAGGGATTGATGGTTAAACTACTCTGAGAATTGCAGCAAAGTGTAGGGAATGGGTAGGCAAACCAGATCTGGCCCAATCGCCTTCTAAATCCAGCCCATGGATGGTGTGTTTTTACATGAGTAGAATGTGTGCTTTTATTTAAAATGCATCTCTGGGTTATTTGTGGGCCATAGGAATTCATTTCCCCCAAAAAAACATAGCCCAGCCCCCCACATGGTCTGAGGGACAGTGGACCGGCCCCCGGCTGAAAGTTTTTGCTGACCCCTGGGTAGGGAATAGGGGTCTTCTAACAGGACCCCTGACAAACTACACTTCTCAGAATTCTTTGGAGGGAAGCCATGTCTGCTTAAAGTTGTATGATATTGCTTTAAATGATGGGACAGTAGCTGAATAATACCCAATGAATTCACAGACAGGTTTCATTCTGAGCCATTTTTTTAAAAAAATATTAATAAGAAATACCAGCATGTTTTATTCCTGACGATTGTCAACTTGGGGCAATATGTTTTCGCCATGTGTTTGTGCATGTGCGCACACACACACACACAAAATAAGTTACAACATTTTTTCCCATTTCTTGTAAAAAAAAAATCTCCTCTAATCACGAATCATTAGAGACCAATCATTCACAGTCAGCAACGTTGCACTTCTAGGACCCTAAGTAATGTACAGATGACAAGTCACACCTTGATACATTTTAGCTTTTGATTATGGCATGTGGCTCAACACAGATGGTGTTGCAAACTGTCTGATACCGTGTAGACATTTTTCTCCCTAGTCTGAATAGAGGAGCCTATTTTCTTGATGATAGATTGGCAGGGATCTGAAGAATGATAAACTTTTAAGATGCTGAATTTAGATCAGGACTACAGGGTTTCTCTGGACGACAGTACGTAAGCAGTGCTGAATAAAATCCAGATGACATCAACAAAATTCAATGTGCACCAAGCAAGAGGGAATATTGCAGGAGGAGCAGGGGAGGAAGCAAAAGCCTTGCTCTTTTCTCTGCCCTATTTCTGTCAAACATGGCAGAGCTAATGGGAGCTCACTTAGTCAACCTATTTGCTTTCTCTGGTGGCTAATGTAAATTCCAGAGATTTATAATGCTGTACATCAGTGTGCCCCAAATACTATGCTGGTAAAATGTCAGTGAGTGCTTTTAACTACAGTGATACCTCGGGTTAAGTACTGAATTCGTTCTGGAGGTC